CTATAATATAAAAAGAAAAGTCATATACAAGACTTTTGTAATACAAGATAACCTTAAAATTTTTAATTGGGCAACATTGTTTTGCATTTGATTTAAAATTTTTTAGACCTCTAAACACAACAAAATGTTTGACATTGCAATGCCAAAAGTATGGGGGAAATTATGTAACCCAACAGCGACACACATGGAAGAATGTGAAGACAGGCACAGAATGGCATTATGCTGTCATGAGCCAAGGACTGCTAGGAGCCACCAGAAGCTAGAAGAGGCAAAGACGGGTTCTTTCCTAGAGCCTGCGGAGGGGGCGTAGCCCTGCACACACCTCGCTCCTGAACTTCTATCCTCCAGATCTGTCTGAGACTAAATTTCTGTTGTTTTAAGTCCCTCAGTTTGTGGCAATCTGTTAAGACAGCCCTAAAAATTAATGCACATATTTTACAAAATGGGCTCCTCTGATACATCCTATTTTACAACCTTTGTTTTTGACTCAACAATATATTACTGATGGTTTTCCATATCACAATATCACCAAAACAATCCTGTTAATGAGTACTTGGTTTCTATTAAATGGATAACATGTTTTATTTGGGCATTATCACATTGTTAAATGTTTGATATTACTAGTTTCTGCTCTTATAAATAATAATGCAGTTAACCTCCTTTAATTACTGTAGCTGTTGTAGTTACTTCTACTCCTATAAGTTTGAACACGTTATACCATTTTATACTCCTATCAGCAGTGTATGAGTGTATCCTTTTCTCATCAACACTTTTGTATTTTATAAATTTTTAAAGGCATTGCCAATTTGATAGGCAAAATAAATGATATAGCCTTGTCTACCTTGTGAACAGTCCCTGAGACACAGAAAAACTCAATAAATGTTAGCTGTTGCTATATTATTGTTAATAGAGAATCTATCCCTCCCCCACTAATCTTAAATATCTGTTTCGTCATATACTAAATTCTTCTACACATCAAAATCCAAACTTTCCATTTTAGTCCTGAATTTGTACCACTTCCCTCATAATCTACACACATAGAATCAAAAGAGAACCTCTAAAGTGTTCTTGACTTAACCCATTAGAGCAACTCTAGTGATAAAAAATGTAAGCAAGCAGGAAAAATAAAGGGATATGGGAGGGGAATGGGGACATTCGGGTTTTTACTCATACACCCAAAATCACAACCTAACCTGGTTGCTTTTACATACCAAGAGGTACCCTTGTCTTCTGTCTTCTCTGAACAGGAGCTTCTGGGTGCTCTGCGAGTTCTTTAGTTGGTGGCTCGCTGCTCTCAGATGGCCTATGAATAGCAGTCTGAACAAGACCTTCCAAAGAAGCACTTGCTACAGAAATAGAGTCAAAAAAAGGGGGGGATAACTTGAACAGAGACCACTGAGTCGTAAAAAGAGGAAACTGGAATGTTTCCTATGTAATAACCCCTTCTCCTACAAAACCAATCTTGATTTCCTTTCTCCTCCCTTGTAACTTCGAATTTTAAGTTGAGAAAAGAAATAAAGGAAGGAACAAGGGAGAATGAAGAAGAAAAAAGGGGGGATGTTAGAAAGAAGAAGAACAAAAAGAAGAGGAGAATTTGCTTCAGAATTTCCATTTTCACAATAAGGTAATAACATAACGGAAGCTGTTGCCCCAGTGAACTCTCTTATTTGTCTTATGCCTTAAGAATTTTCAGCTCCTATATAGTTTAGTACTTCACTAGTAAATTAACACATGATAACATCACCTTGGATAAATGGGTTAACAGATAATTTATAACTCTTTTTATTTGGCCATTCATTTCAATCTCTCCCGTCATCAAGTCTTTGAACAGATTCTGACACATTTCAGCATATTTGAATTTTACTTGACTATATTCCCGTGCCCATCTTCTTCACAAAAGAACAAATATGTATTAATAAACAAATAAAAATATGCTTAATCTCATTAGTATTCAGATAAATAAAAAACTAAAATAAGCACTTTTGCCCACTAGATTGACAAAATTTAAAAGACTGATATTGTCCAACGTTGTCAAGGATTTAGCAAATGCCTAAAGCTTCCTTAAAGGTAATTTAGCAGAATCTTATCATATTACTAATGCACACAGGCCCTTTGTCTAGCAATTTTACTGCTAGCAATCCATCCTCCAGAAATAGCTCTTCTTCCCCACAATCCATCATTTCAGAATTGCAAAACTGTGGAAGTGAAAAATTTGAAATAACCTAAATGAACAGTTTTAATAAACGCCTAGCAATGCATCCCCTTTTTTGTCTAGAGCACCGAATCTTCGTTTTCTCTTCTGTACAAGGAAGCGCTGGTAGCCATACCTCTGCTCCAACTGTCTTTACTGTTTCCTCCACTCGTTACCTTCCTAAGTGCAGATGTACATGTCTGTATTTAACTGTGAGTGAATTATTAGAGCCTGACATTTCAGTATCTTTGTGAATCCAAGTCTCTTTGAATCTCTTTTCTTTTTTTGTCTGTGTCTACATGTCTTTTTCTCTTTCTCTGCGTCCATCTCCATGTCTTTCTTTTTCCCCATCTATCCCTCCATTTGTTAGACAGTCGATGATAAGCGAAAAGAAGTTTCTGACTGAGTGAAAGGTATGACCAGCTAGGAGCTTTAAGAAGTTCATCCAGCAGTGGTGGGCAGGACTTGAGTGAAAGAAAGCGAGCAGCACAATGTCGGAGGCTAATCCGATAGCTCAGAAGAGGAAAGGGGCTAAATGGCCTACAGTTGTGACAGTGGAAACGAAAGGGGAAAGAGACACAAGAAATGTCATAGAAGAAGCAAGCAAATAGAGTGAAGGGATCAGTTAGCAGTGACACTGAGGCTTCCAGCCTGAGTGACTGACTGGGAGAGTGGTGGGTTCCATTAACAGAAATCTGTGAGAAGTAAAAATTGATTTATTGTTGAAGGTGATGAATTCTGATGTGCGAGTCTGAGCTACTGACAGAGCATCCAGGATTAACTAAACAAAAAGGAGTTCATAGAACTTGCTCATTATTGGGGCTTTAATACCTGCCTTTAGACTCATGCTCTAACATAGATATTCTTGGGCTAAAATGAGAGATCCAATCCCTAGCTGGTTTGGCTCAGTGGATAGAGCATCAGCCTGTGGACTGAACGGTCACAGGTTCGATTCCAGTCAAGGGCACATGCCCGGGTTGTGGCTCGATCCCCGGTTGGGGGTGTGCAGGAGGCAGCCGATCAATGATTCTCTCTCATCATTGATGTTTCTATCTCTCTCTCCCTCTCCCTTCCTCTCTGAAATCAATAAAGAAATATATAATATATATTTAAAATGAGAGATCCAAGAACTCCATGTCTCTAAATCCAGTAACCTGTTCAAGGGTCTGGAACCAATCATAGCTTAAGATAACTTACGTTGTCCAGGGATAAAGGACCTCCAAGAGTCCAAGAATGTAGTGGAAGTGAGAGTGTTGGTGGCACAACCCTTTATTTTATGAATCCTTCTAGGCACTCTTCAGGCTGCTCACTGCTGGTCCCTCACTACCACCAGGAGTCCCACTGCTTCAAGGTGACCTTGATTCTATCCTCAGCACAGAGTGACGCGGCACTGCTGGGACCGGTCTCTCCCTGATCTGATGTTTATCATGCCCGAGGTCCTGGGAAAACCTGTGGTTCCACTCAACAAAGAGCAACTTCTTACCTAGCATGGTTTTCGTTCTCGGCTTCTTTTTCTTGGGACGACTAAGTGGAACCTCATCTATAAAACAAAAAGGACAGAAAAGGCTGCCTAAAATTCTATGCAGGGAACAGTTTTTTCAAAAGGGCACTTTTATTAGGGAAGACCTTTCCCTCTCTTCTTTGGGTCCAGCCAACACCTACACATGAAGGGAAAGAAGGCAAGAAACTGACAAAGTCAAAGAGAGCCCAGAGTGTGGTACTAAGAGCTCACTGCTGGTCAGCAATGTCAGGAACAGGGACACAGAAAGTGTGCTCACCAAGTATTCAGCTGATCCCCAACTTAGGCCTGTGACTGGTTCTGGTCAATAGACTATGAGAGATGCAATCTGTGTCATTTGGAGGCCAGAACACTAAAAGGAGCCAGGGAGAAGCCCTCCAGCTTTCTCTTCCCTTGACAATTGAGGAGACCTCATGTTGAGATTGCAAAACCACAGGACAGAAGTAGACTGAATCACTACCTCATTAGTGAAGAGGCAGTGAAAGGCAAATGCCCTGATTGGTTGCCACAATGGACTTTGCATTAACCAGATATAACCTTATATGATATTAAGTCACTGAGATTTTGGGGTTGTGTAGCATAACCCAGTCTATCCTGACTAAATGAGACAAAGGAAAATGCAATCCCTAATACAGAATGATAACTAGCTATGAGCTATGATTAGGGTGACTCCATTCAGGAATGAATGCTTTTATATTTATAAGGTCAAATACCAACCATATAATTAGTGTTATTTATCAACCATCACTTAAAAATGGCAGCCATAGATTATTATGATAAAGATACTGTATTATTATAAATTATACCACCCAGATTCAATTTTAAGAGAAACATTAACAAATTAAACTTTTGAACATTAAATACCATATTTAGAAAATTTTACATGAACAGTGAACTCACCTTGAACAGCACTTTACATGACACCGACCAAATTTAATCAGGACAAAGACAAAAAAAAAAAAGAAACTCTATTAATTAGAAATCTATAACACTGTCAAACTGAAAACTGACTTAAATCATTACAAATTTAAAATAAAAATAGTTTTCACACAAAGTTTGCTCATTTACAAACTAGCTTACTTACAAATAATAAACTAGTAAACCTGCTAATAAAATAACCCCAATATTTTCTGAATCTCCATATACACACTCCCTTCTATCTATTAATAAAGTAGATTAAACAGATTAAGAACTCTTATTCGGTCACTGACTAAAATCAGCTTAAACTCTGAGGAAACTATTCTAGCGAACAAAAGGCGGCCAGGATTCTGCTAAACAAGACACTAAACCATTCAGAATAGATCCATTACCCTCCCGTGTTCACCACAGTCAGGCTTTGAAACAGAACATTTCATTGTAACTGTTACCCTAATGATTCAGGGATTTTTCACCTTTAAACTGTTAAGAAGCCTTTTCTTAAAAATATCAAGAAATCTTTCCTGCATTATGATGGATTTGCAATGGTGGTCAATTTTTCACTTTATTCATTTTGCACTTTTAGAACCCCATAATAAAAATACTGTACTTTTACCTTGGCACAGGTGGGAGGGCTCGTGGAGGACGCTATGGGAAAAGAAGAAAATTACTTGTAAGTGAAAGCCTAGAGCAGCTTTACTTCCCATATTTGAAATCTTTTGATTACTGTTCACCAGTGAAAGCCAGGAGGTACTGATGAGAACCAAATGGGCAATACTTAAATTTCATATAAAATGCTTTCCTCTCTATGTACCTTCTTATCTACGGGCCAGGCCCTGTTCTGAGCACTAAGAATACATTTATGAACAAAAGGAAGAGACCCTGCTTTCACGGAACTTGACGTTCAGAGATCTCTCAGATATCTGAGCTGAGACTGACTGGGAAAGGAGCCTACATTTTTGACAAAAGGGCAGCAAATACAAAAGCCTTGGGGGCCATGGGGCTTGGAGGGTCCCAGGTAAAACGCCAGGAAGGCTGCAGCAGGAACCACGGAGAGGTGGGCAGAGGCCAAATAATTAGGGTCCTGAAGACGGAGGGGAGGAATCTAGATTTTGTTTTAATTCATTAACAGGAAGCCGATGGGCGTTTTAAGCTACATATTCACATACTTTTTTAAAAAAAAAGATCCCTCTGAATACAGGAGGAAGGATGCATTTTGGGACAGAAAGAATGGAGGGGAGCCCTTAGAAATGCTGCTTTACGTGAGTAAGAAGGGTTGCATTTGTAGCTCAGAGAGATTACAGTTAAGAAGCACCCCGGAATCTTGCAAAATAAAATGCTAACAGAAATGCCTACATATCAGTTCCATGTGCCAAGAACATCGCTTGCAGAGAACATCGCTTCCAAAGGTTCGCACTCAGACCGCTGCCGTTCACTCTGCAGCGTCCCGTTTGGCAATCCTCTCGCTTAAACTGTGTTCACAGAAATGCCACCAGATGCGGGCCAGGCCGGCTGCCTTCACGCAACCCCGTCGCTTTTGTTCTAAGGATGCTGCGCAGAGGCAGAGCGTTCCATCCAAAGGTCCCTTCTCACAACCCCGCGTTTCAAAAGTCCCGCCACAGTGACACGTCACCCGTCCCAAACCCCAGCTTGCAAGCCTCTCGAAAGTAGGACCGTTCAACTGAATGCAAAAGTCCAACAACTCACAGGTAATGGAGGCGCGCTCTCCACCTGCTTCCTCCCCATTCTTCCTCAAGCGCCCCCTTTCTCACAGCCCCCCCTTTCTCACACCCCGCTCCCCGCGCGGGTCGGCCGCGCGCAGGCGCAGTGG